CACACACACACACACACACACACACACACACACACACACACACACACACACACACACACACACACACACAAAATCAATCAATCAATCAACCAATCAATCAATCAACCAATCAATCATCTGATTTTTGTTTTTTTTTTGTTTTTTTTTTCTTCGTAGGATCTTGTCGCCGATCTCCGACCCCTTCGAACAACAACCAAACCACTTCTCGCCCAGCGCGGGCGCAGTCCCGACCGCTGTGGTCGCCTCTTCAACCGCAGCGAGCAAAGTCACGATCGCGGAGGGCAAGTTCACAACCGTGAGGTCGCGATGGGACTGGAGTGGGCCTCGGTTCTCGGCCGCGTCGGCGCCCAGTGGACCAAGGGAGGGGAGGGGGCCTGGGACGCGGGGAGTACGACATCGCATAGGCTAGTGCGGATGAGTCAATCATTCGCAATGAGTCGGAGGGGGGGTGGTTCCGGGGGGGGCGGTGGTTTAGGGGGGTCAGATTTTATCCCTGTTTCCGATGCTGAGATGGCCAAGCTGAGGAGGGCCTCATGCGTTTGGAAATACGTTACGCTGGGGCAACCGGTAGGCACGTGGGACAAGTTTCACGGTGACCGCAAGTTGCGATGCAACTTGTGCAAGCACCTATGGCAGAGGAACCAATCGAAGGCCGCGAGATACTTCTGCCAGTTGAAGAAGTGCCGTGTTGCGCAGTTCGATGTGCTCGTTGACATTTGGAACGACACGGACTACAGATTCGATGACCGACATCACGCATCCATCCGCGCATACATGGAGGAGCATGGCATCAGAGACTCCCGAGCAGTTGCTGGAGGCCGTATAGGAGCGGATCCTTGCACTGCAGGTAAGGACGACGTGCAGGACGTGCTTGACGAGATGGAGGAGCGGGAGGGGGTGGAGTTGCCAGGGGAGGAGGTCGTGATGACATCGTGTGGGGAAGACCCTGATATGCGAAAGGGGAAAAGGGCGATGGGGGAGACCGACCGGGCAGCGACTCGACCGGGGAAGAGGGTCCACCAGTCCAAGAACGACGAGGTCTACACTGCGGACAAGCAATCGGTCTTCAACGACAAGTTTCTACAGTGGATCTATGACTCTGGCATTCCGTTCAATGCGTTCAGGAGGCAATCGTGGAGGGAGGTCCGGAAGGCGGCGGATGAGCTGCCTAGAGGAGTCCAGATGCGATTTCCTTCCTTTAAGGAAATCGGTAGAGATGGAGTGCCCGAGCAGAGGGCGAAGGTGGCGTCTTTATTACGGGAGGTCCGAGAGTCGTTCAGTCACAGCGGCGCCACCATCTTGTCGGATGGTCGAAAATCGCGTGATTCTCAACCCATCGTGAACTTCCTTGCTGCAGGTGCCAATGGCGCCCTACTCTACGCCACCATTTGCCGTGACAGTTCTGTACAGGAGACGGGCGCCATTGTCTTCCACAGGTGGAAGGCCATCATTGAGTCCTTCCCTGCGAAGGACGTCATAGCTTTCTGTACAGACTCCGCTAGGAACTGCACTTTGCCTCCCGTTTGCTCGCCGCTGACACCATTATCCGTGGACGAGCAATGGTGCGATTTATTAAATCGCAAGGCGCAACTCTTGCCCTTTACAAGAAGAAGAGCCCGTGCGTTTCGCTTGTGCAGCCAGTTGAGACTCGCTTCGCATCAGTTTTCATCATGTTGACTTGTCTCCTCGGGAGATGCGACTCACTGGAGGCGATGTTGCATGACGACGCGTGGGCGAGTATCCCGTGAGAGCGGAGCCTGTTGCCCCAGGCGAGATGGGTGTGTCTCCAGATTCGAGATGGCGAGTTCTGGCGCTATGTCGAGTTCTTGATTCTTGTGATGGAGCCCATCCATCAGCTGCTGAGGCGGATGGACAGAGGAGGGATGATGATGTCCATCGTCTACGAGTGGAGTCGTCATCTCGTTCAACTTCTGACGAAGCTGGACGTTGTGCGGGCCGATCTTCTGACCCCGTGCCTGCGAGAGGTCAGGATGCAGCTCATGCACTTGTTGGAGCCCGCGCACGCTGCCACTCATCTCCTTAACCCTCGTCGTCGGTCTCTGAGGTACTACGCATCCCTCCACACCACAACGGAGGATGCGGAGGTTGTGCAGGAGTGTGATCATTTTCTCCTTGCGCAGACTGGAGGTGATCCCACCAGCAGGGATTACCTCGTTACTCGTGACCAGATGCACCGATTCCATGTACGCAGTGGAGACTGGGGTGACAGGCTGGTGTCGGATGCCGAGGCGGAGGGTTTGCATAGGGATCAGGGGACGCACCGTTGCGCGGCGTGGTGGTTTGCCCACGGCACTGCCCACCCTGAGTTACATGTTATCGCTATCCGTGCGATGCACATGTGGACGTCAGCCTCTCCCGCGGAGAGGAATTGGGCGGCCCACAAGCGCATTCAGACGGCAAAGCGGAGCAACCTTGGCTTCGCTAAGCTGGCACAACTGGTTGAGATCACGACAAATCTCAAACTGGCTTCATGCAGGCAGCAGGGTGGCGGATATGTGCTTCCGTGGGTCATGGAGGGTGTCGACACCGAGAGACGGCTGCCGGACGAGGACGAGGACGGTGACCCCGAGCCTGACGTGTGGGGGCCAGACCTGTTGGTATGTTCACCGACCGGGAGATCACGAGGCAGATCGATGTTTTTCGCAAGGACGGCACAAGCCATCCTCGAGAGGTTTCTGCCGTATTCGGGGATCGGGTGGCCACTCTGCTCCCTTTCGACCATGTGCCTCCTCCCCCGTTCCGGGGAGCAGGAGAGGGTTTTGCGGCAGCCGCTGAGGACGAAGAGGACGATTGGACGGACGCAGAGGATGTGGCGGGGGGCATAGACAGGACGGTAGAGCAGGTGTACTTCACGTACGGGGGCGGGTCGGACGGGCATGCGCCGCGGACGTCCGTCATCACAGACGATGTCGCCGGCGGGGCACAGGGTAGTGCCACTCGACACCCTCCAGCGGGTCGAGGTCGTGGCGCCGTTGCTCGCGACGTTCACCCCCCCACGAGGAGAGTTCTAGGGGTGAACTCGAGTGATGAGGACGAGGGCGTGGCACCTCACGCTGACCGCCTGCGGGACCCTCGGTTCGATCCGAGCCACCACTCCAGGGAGCATTCAGAGCAGCTTCATCAATCACACAGGTTGGCAGAGCGTAGCGTTCAGGCGTCCCAGCAGCCTCAGGACATACCGGTCGCGGAAGGGACACCGTCACACAGCGGCCCCGCTCAGGCTGCGACATCCTCTCTGCGCACCAGCGATTTCGATATCGCGGGTTCACATGGGGGCTCACATGTCTTACGATGTAGAGTCCATGACAGAGCGGAGTACAGGACGGATGTGAGGGAGAGGGAGGAGATTATTGAGGAGAGGGACGCTCGCCTGGATCGAGAGGAGGAGGCACGATTGCAGTCCATGCCCCGATGGGAGGGCAGAGAGGCGTATGAGGCCGAGCAGCGGAGGAAGAGGGAGTTAGAGACGACAGGAGCGGGTCCACCATCAAGCGTCGGACGTATGCCGACTTCTGACACGATGCAGCCCTCCTCTGGGCCCTTTGATGTTGTGGGTGGTGGTGCTGACACATGCGGATTGGATGCTGGAGGCGGGGGGCAGCAGATGTGCCATGCGAGGGTGGTCCTGTCGGGGGTGTCGAGACAGTGGTGGCAGACACGGGAGCTGATAGTTCCAACGACGGCGAGGAGTGTGCGGCCGCCGAGGCTATCGTAGAGAACGTCGTGATTGGCATATGCGCGGTTGGCACAGATGGCGGGACTCATGGAGGGGAGGAGGGGATGGTGGACGAGGGTGGTGTGTCTTTGCCTGAGGAGGAGTTGGTGGACGAGGGGAGTGTTCGTTTGCCTCAGGAGGAGTTGGACGAGGGCGATTCGGCTTTGCCAGAGGAGGAGTTGGTGGACGAGGGCAGTGTCCCTTTGGAGGGCAGTGTGCCTTTCGTTGATGGCGCGACACAGGATGACGAGGAGGGAGCAGCGGTCGACGCAGGGCGCAATGCCTCGTCCGTGCGAGATGGCGTGACCTGAGGGCATGTTGAGGAGGAGGTAGCAGCCATCGACATGTCCCTCGCGATTATTGTTAGGCCCCCTTGGTGCGAGATGTGGAGAGAGGATGGCATATTGACTCGGGCAGGCCGGACTCTTTCTCTGCAGGTGGGTAGTTCGGGGAGATGCCTCGGTGGGATGGCGGGGAACCGGTGGAGTGCACTCCGACCCCATTACATCCGGACCAGCTAAAGAGGTTGGGGACCGAGGACCCTTACCCGTTCACTGGTGGTCAACCCTCGCCTCCCCCGTGGGCTCCAGTGAGCCCTATGTGGACCGGATCATCGCAGTCCGACATCCGCGAGCGGGAGTCTTTGGAGAGCCAGGCGGCAGTGTTTTTAGGCGGGGCTGGCAGCAGCCATGCGTAGCCACTGACGCGCCCTGTATCTCAAGCATCGCAACTGGCCACAGCACCGGCTGCAGGTCTTCCACCGATTGGAGGTCGAGGCAGCGGGCGGGGATCTTCTTCGAGTCATCGAGGTGGCGTTTTAGGGGGGTGGTCGTCTTGTCGGCGAGTGACGGACAGTCTGAGGAGGGACTACGATAGAGGACGGGGGCTGTTCGCACGAGGACCATCGGGGGAGGGAGATCCTGCAGCGGGTGCGAGTGAGGCTGGACGACCGAGTGTCCACATAGCAGGACATATACTCAGATTGGATAGAGTCGAGACGAGGGGGACAGAGAGGTTGGAGGTTTATCGAGCTCGATCAGCCATTGATGACAGACGGCAAGGACGGCCGTACACATCGGGGGAGGAGGACTTGCATATGCCACAGGGTTCGAGATGTCATGTCTCGATCAGGGATCTTGATGCGGAGATTATTGCTGACCAGCAGCGGTTGGCGGACCTCATTCGCGAGCGTGAGAGGAGGTCGGAGACGGAGGCACAGGCTGAGGAGGCGGACACAGAGACTGAGCCCATCGACACAGCTATGCGGAGAGAGAGGCATCGGAGAGTAGCGTCTGCGGCAGGCTCACACCTTGCACCCGTAGGGAGAGAGGGAGCACCACACAGTAGGGGTCAGGGTGGGAGCAGAGGAGCATTGGCAGGGAGAGGGAGTGCAGCACGTCATAGCACTCATACTAGGCGCGGTGGTAGGGGTTAGCGACTTGTGTAGCACGATAGATCAGTTTTGTACTTTCATGTTTTTTGTACACTATCTTTAGTTTATTTGTACATTACTGTCATATTCGTAGTTGTTAGGTTTCAGACTTGCTATACGTTGTCAGGTTTTCACGGCAGGAGTTAGCGACTTTGTGTAGTAGGGCAGATTAGTTTTTTACTTTCATGTTTTTGTATAGTATCTGTATTTTATCCGTATATTACTTTCATGTTCTTAGTTGTTAGGTTTTAGAGTTGCTCTGCGTTGTTTGTTTTGTTGTGCTATGTTTCCATCATGTTAGGTGTCAGACTTGCTCATGGTTGTAGTATTTTTTTCCTACACTGCGACACCAGTTTTTGTTTTCTTGGTCAGGTTGTCATGTTGACTTTGTTCATATTTTGTCATAGACACATTACGTTTGTCAGTGCTATGTTTGCATCATGTATTGGTGTTTCTGTGTGTGTTGTATTATCCTTATGTCTATCAAACCCTATCCCCTCCCAGTTAATGTCCCTCCCCAACCGCCTTTCAGCCAATGAGCCCGCTCGTTCTGCCCCCTCCCAAATTCCCAATGAATGACATCCACCAACACCCCCTCAACGAATGACTCCCGGACCAGATCAAACTCCCAAAACCATCACTGAAGAAAAGGAAAAAAAACATTTCTGTGTTGTGAAAGTGGCACCCCCAAAACCCCCTACCCCCCCCCCCC